ATAGCGGCCTGAGTACACTAGCGGCCTGAGTACACTAGCGGCCTGAGTACACATAGCGGCCTGAGTACAATAGCGGCCTGAGTACACTAGCGGCCTGAGTACACATAGCGGCCTGAGTACAATAGCGGCCTGAGTACACCCTGTCTCTTATACACATCTAGATGTGTATAAGAGACAGTCTCAGGTGAGATAGTGCAACAAACAGACCATCTCAGGTGAGATAGTGCAACAAACAGACCATCTCAGGTGAGATAGTGCAACAAACAGACCATCTCAGGTGAGATAGTGTCACAAACCCAAACAAATAACTTAATTTTCTCGGATTTACAAGTATAATAAGTATTTATTTCTAAGATATAGCCGATATAACTGAGTAGGTATATCACGGATGTTATGCATTAGCATAAGCCAGTTTCTACCTGATTTAAGAACACAGAACAAAAGGTCTTCAGAGCTGAGCACAACTAACACAATTTCTTGCCATTATCATGTAATTTTATAGAATTTTATGGCAATAACCTGATTATTTCTTTGTATTATCCAGATCACAGATGTTAAAAAATACATTTTTTCACCGACGCTCGCTGCAACTTTTTGGTACTGTCGAAATACTCGAGCTCTGCGGTAAATATCTTGTTAATAGATCGATCTCAATAATTTTTTGTCACAGATCAATCGCTGAAATGTTATTGATCATTAAAAGTTCAATTCAGNCCCCCCCGAGCAGGAAGATGAGCAGGGACCACCTGGCTGCGGTGCGCGCGTTCCGGTCATCGCGCGTAGGCTCGCAGCTCGAGTTCCCTGCGCTGCACGAGGAGCTCTTCCCGCTCCTCGACGAGATCGCTAATGGTAACTAGTTACCTGGTGTTCCTAGTGGTAACTCTAGTTACCTGGTGTTGCTGGTGGTAACTCGGTACCTACCTAGTGTTGCTAATGGTAACTCGGTACCTAGTGTTACTGATGGTAACTAGTTACCTGGTGTTGCAGGTGGTAACTCGGTACCTACTGTTACTGATGGTAACTAGTTACCTGGTGTTGCTGGTGGTAACTGTAGTTACCTGGTGTTGCTGATGGTAACTCGGTACCTAGTGTTAGTAATGGTTGTGTTATCTAATACCCCCTTAATAGTAACCTTCAACTAATATCCCATAATAATAACCAATCAATTCTACAACCCCTTCCCCCTGGGCCCCGTCCATCTCTTGCACTAGTTTCGTGTTCTCTAAATTTAGTATTTCGGTTACACTTTATGTTTGTTGTTATGCTTCATCCTGCTGCTCTCTGCTTCTTCTCTCTCTTCTATAGCGCACTATTACGATCTATTACGAGTAGTTTCATATTCTCAACATTCTTTTAGTTACTACATTTTTGTTGTAAAAATTCGTTATCGTATTATTTTCTAAATCATTTCGCTGCTTTCTTGCATTTGTTTATTATATCCTCTTTCTTCCTACCATTTATTTCGTTACTCTGTAATCCCTCTTTTCACAATATCCCGCTGACCTTTTTAACACATATTTATATCCTGACTAATTATATTATACGTTTATTATCTAATTGTGGATAACGTCAACATTATTTTATTTCTGGTTACCTTTCACATTCAATGCCTTGTATCGTCTGTCTGATTCCTAAATATATCAGCAAATTTCATATGTGGACAAATTTATCAGTTTTATCAATAAATGTTGGATCACTAGATTGGCTGAACACAAAGGTAGTTTCAAATTTAATAGATTGGCTGAACACAAAGGTAGTTTCAAACGCAATAGATTGGCTGAACACAAAGGTAGTTTCAAACTAATAGATTGACTGAAGACAAAGGTAGTTTCAAACTTAATAGATTGGTTGAACACAAAGGTAGTTTGTAACTTAATAGATTAGCTGAACACAAAGGTAGCCGTCAAACTCATCAATCTCTATTTGTATTGAGAAGCTTTAATGTTTTGTGGGACTCGTAGGTACGCGTAAGTTCAATTGTGAACATCCATTTTATGTGCTAAATGGGAACGAGTAGCCCATTAGCAGCAGGTTGCTCAAAACATCCATACTTAGGGAAGTGACTGGGTCGCATTGTCTAAATAGTGACAAGCTTTCTACACGTGGCCCTGAAATGCTCTTTTGCCGCCCCAAACTGGCTTAGGATGTCCCACATAAGGGCAGAAAATGCATCGATATTTGGACAAAGTCTCATTTATTTCTCGCAGTTTTGCATGCTGCGGTCGGTCTGATGACGGCGGTATCAATGGCTATACATTGCCTGATGATGGAAATACATGAACCGTTTAATTTGATCTAATATTTTATTGAAACTGTTTCACCAATCTTAAACACCAGTAAATTTATCCCTCTTTTTACTTATTAACAAACTTATGCAATGCAAGTCTTTAACTCTAGTCTAGTTTAAATTAAAGGGAAATTGACTAGTTCTTGAATTTCTTGAGCCTGCATCTTGTACATTTTAGTTTTGAGAACTTTTCTCTTTAAAATTAATCGGTCCTGTTGGCATCTTTTATGGACCGCCGCTCGGCTCATCCAACGGGCAGTATTATTCTATTAGAATATCTGTTCGTCTTATTACAAGTCGCATATCTACCACTTGACTCTTCTTAGTCTTCATGATTTCCTATTCATAACTCAATATTTATTTAAACTCGTGCAGTCCACGTTGACTTATGATAACGTACACGAATCGTTCAATTGGTCTTATTTCTGCGTTCGTTTCAATACCAATTTTACAACAATAAACTCGCCACATAGTAACTCGCCAGGACGGTTGGATTTATTTAATGTACGCAGCAGCAGGCGTATAATTTAAATTTTTTTTCTGTTCCAATCTGCATTTATTGGTGAATTTTTTGTCGCGTTGCAATAAACGATAAAGTCAGCCCGTGACTTGAACTTTTGAGCGTCCGCCTCCCGTAGCGACTAGCAGGCGACCCACAACCTGCTGCTAGTGGGTCTACGTGACCCACAACCTGCTGCTAGTGGGTCTACGTGACCCACAACCTGCTGCTAGTGGGTCTACGTAGTAACGCTCGATGGTTAACTATGGTCGCGTCGTGGGCGGCCACCCATGATGCGGCCATAATTGCCGCTTGCGTATCGTTATGGTGAATAAATGAATTAAAATAATCACAATTTGAATTGACTTATTTAAAGCTCGTGTTGCAGCCGTCGAGCAAGCGGACGAGGGGCTTAGCGCGCCTCAGGTAAGTGGGGTGCCCGCACCCCTGTCGCCCTGACGTGGCTGGGGCGGTAAGCAGGTATGACATAAACTTCTAACTTATCGTAATTTGCAATATAAGATGAAAGTGTTCCTTGACTTGACGTTACACTCGCATTTTTTTCCGTGACAGTTTAACGTTGTTCTCCAGCGTTCGTTAGGCCGCAAGCCAGCCGCGGTAAACGAAATTCACATCATTATTTTTCAATGTTGAAGTGCACGGTGGAAAAAAAATCTCCAGAGTTGCGTGGCGGAGTGAAGAGATAAGATGATATTTTGAACGCAAGAGGCTTTTATTATCTATTCAGCGTTTCAGTTAAAAAAATTCACTGTTCTATTCATTGTAATGTGTGTCGTATATATCTGAATCTTATAATTCGACGTCTTATTCGTTATACGAAAGTGCATTTTGATGAAACAGTCTTCTTCAAGTAAAATTTTGACAGAGCCACCGCCTTAGTCAGGTAATAGAAAATGATATTGAAGTGCTTTATTAAATCTAGTTGAAATCGTGTCCCGATAAGTTCATATATCGCATTGGCAAGCGAGGTCAGGACGCTGAACAAATATACTACATTGGCAGGGTATCCTGCGTAAATGAGATCCTTTTGTCTGTTGGTTTCCTGATCGCCTCTTGCAGTCCTACAGGCTTGTCCTGTAGTTCCGCAGGCTTGTCCTGTAGTTCGGCAGGCTTGTCCTGTAGTTCCGCAGGCTTGTCCTGTAGTTCCGCAGGCTTGTCCTGTAGTTCCGCAGGCTTGTCCTGTAGTTCCGCAGGCTTGTCCTGTAGTTCCACAGGCTTGTCCTGTAGTTCCACAGGCTTGTCCTGTAGTTCCACAGGCTTGTCCTGTAGTTCCGCAGGCTTGTCCTGCAGACCTGCAGACTAGGTGTGTTCCTGGGCTCAACTCATGCATGTCTCCACATTCCATTTCTTCCATTAGTCTATTTTCTGCCAAACCGTCATGTGGGAGCTACACTGGCCACGGTTAATTTAATAATAATGCTAAACAAATGGTCGTACAGAAACTTGCATGCTGTAGCTGGGTAGACCCGCAGGCTTGTCCTGTAGACCTGCAGGCTTGTCCTGTAGACCTGCAGGCTTGTCCTGTAGACCTGCAGGCTTGTCCTGTAGACATGCAGGCTTGTCCTGTAGACCCGCAGGCTTGTCCTGTAGACCCGCAGGCTTGTCCTGCAGGTCTGCAGGCTTGTCCTGTAGACCCGCAGGCTTTTCCTGCAGACCTACAGACTAGGTGTGTTCCTGGGCTCTACTCATGCATGTCTCCTTATTCCATTTCTTCCATTAGTCTGTTTTCTGCCAAAGATTCTTCCATTACCCATCATGTGGGAGTTACACTGGCCTCGGTTAATTTAATAATAATTCTAAACAAATGGTCGTACAGAAACTTGCATGCTGTAGCTGGGATGTAAATGCATTCGAAATGTCTGAACTTCTCACCAATAGGCTATATAGTATTCATTGTACAGAACTGTTGAGTTATCTTCTTCAGATCCTTTTATTTAAGATTCGATAATCAATGATGAGTGAAAATTTTTCCATTAGCGAGTGATGTGAGAGATGTCATGTAATGGGGGAACATTCACTATCTTTCAGTCATAGTGAATCATACATTATACAACTGAGACGAACACAAGGCTTGATGTGATGCCACACCATCTCTACTCTTCTAAGTTTACAACGTTCTCTTTTGATTGCAGGAGAACGAAGTTCAACAGACTGAAGTTAGACGAAACTGAAGGCGGTACGACAAAGTTGCGGCCGCTGTCCACCTCCACTGGCTCAAGCTCCTCCGTATTAATAATATATTCTCCTTGACTTCTTCTGTGTTCTGGTCTATGTGATAGACGTGCGCTTGTTTGTTCATAATAATTTATTGTTCATTAATGCGTAGTTATTTGTTCAGGGCCGAGTACAATGACAGTGAGCGCCGGCCTGCGTCACTCTTATATTATATCACCGCTACTTTTTGTTCTTTTTATCAATTCAATTGATAAAAAGTTTCTGATTGACTGAATTCGATCACGTGCGCTTGTTAATTCGTCTCCATTCCACCTAGATTTATTACCTAGTTATATGCAGCGCAGTTCTTACTAGACCATTGAGGGGGTAGGGGTGCGGCGCGTAGCCGTGCTGATGGCACCACCTTCGGCGGTGTAGGCGGCCGTGAAAGAAACAATCGCAGGACGACTTTTACTCTTTTGCCTCTTCTATTGGATATGATATTATTCTTACACCAGAATTATCCAGAAATGTATTCTATTCACGCCTTATTATTGGTCTCTCTTTTATCATAATATTATAGTTAGAGATGAATTGTACGGGGATGAATTGGTTAGATTAGGTATAATAATTTTTACGTCAATTTTTTCTTATTTCGACAAGTTCAAATGCATGAAATAGAAACACCGAAATTCACAAAGACTCCCATTTGTAGCCAATACATTATTTATTTGGGTAAAATTGATTTAAATTCTAGGTTTAGCTGACCGACACGGTCAGCTTCACTCGTGCTTTTAAATTCTTCGGCGTCCCGATGTGCATTTTCTTTTCAAGTTGATAAATTGAGTAAAAATCTGCATGCGAAGCTTTGTCAGCATTTCGCTCAAAAAAAGCGCACGCGGTGGCCATTGGACAGAAACAGAATATTTTTCCACTCCGAGGTTTGAGTGTAACATTTTTAAAGTATAGGGTCCTGACGGGACCTTGGGACGTATAGGGTCCTGACGGGACCTTGGGACGTATATGCGAAGCTTTGTCAGCATTTCGCTCAAAAAAAGCGCACGCGGTGGCCATTGGACAGAAACAGAATATTTTTCCACTCCGAGGTTTGAGTGTAAAATTTTTAAAGTATAGGACCCTGACGGGACCTTGGGACGTATAGGGTCCTGACGGGACCTAGGGACGTATAGGGTCCTGACGGGACCTAGGGACGTATAGGGTCCTGACGGGACCTTGGGACGTATAGGATCCTGACGGGACCTTGGGACGTATAGGATCCTGGCGGGACCTTGGGACGTATAGGGTCCCGAGGGACGATGACCTCACTTGGGTGCTGCTGGCGCAACCTCCTCCGATGCTGCGTGGGTGGGAGCGTTTACACGATTAACTAATGTAATTTTACTGAACATAAGGATTAAGGACACGATACTTGTTGAGTGTTTTCAAAGTATTTACTTTAAAAGAGATTAATTTTATTTATAAGTGGTAATGGGTTAGGAGAAGCGCGCTGGCCCTTGCCTGTCTCTTGCTCTGCGACCGTTGCTTAAGACGACGTCTGTTTCTCTCAGCGATATAACTCTCAACTTCTGCTTTCCGAGCAAAATATATTTTTTTAATACTATGAAGAGTGAGCAGTGATCATTTTGCGGTATGAGCATATTTTAACAAATTCACCGATCGTGTGCCTACTGCAAAAAGTGAACGAACTAGACGAAAACAGATTAGTAGAATTAATATATTGAATATTGTAGGTGATAGCGCTAAAGTACGTTGAATATTTAATAATTACTAAGGCCACATTTTCTCTTCACCTTCTCGGCTGATTGCTTTTGTACATCTTAGGACGCAGCGCTAAGTTCAGTACAGCGTCATGTTGGTCGACCTTCGTCTTAACTCGAAGGTCTCTGCAATAAATTTGTGATTTGCTATCATAGATTTTGTCCGAAATCCTTATATTTCGCCCAGGTTTTCGTTTGGCGTGACTTTGTTCGAAGAATTTACATTCGCTGTGGCGTCCATGCAGCACATAACTTCGCACGAAGTCCATTCAATAAAAGAAAATTCTAACTTTGGTGTTTTTTGTCCCGCAACTTTTCCGTTTTATGATGCTAAACTTCTTGAAAAAAATCAGTCTTTGGTCAGGCTCAGTATGGACATTTCTTCCATGATGGGGCATGCTAATGTACTAAAAAAAATTAGATAAGATTAAAGTCTAGAGATGTCGTATCGATTTGAAAAAGCATGACACAATGGGTTGCTGCTCATCAGCTCCAAACGAGAAAAAAATTACACTTATCTCAATAAAACGTTGCCTCGACTAAGTCGTACAGAAAACAAATTTTTTTTAAGACGCACATAAAGCACAGCTAAAGTCCTAGAAGCCTGATAGAACATCAATAACATGATAGCCACGAGTGGAAGAGCAAAGTAAACTGCAGCGCAGGTGGCAGGAATGAAACATGAGCACTTAAAGTACATCGTATATTACTGTAAACGAATGGCAGACAACCGACCAAAGGATGCACTTTGTACTCGACCAACGCATCATTCGGGAGCCCGGGAACTGAAGCAACAAAGTGACTTCGTTGTATAAATAAAATAGAACTCCTTTCTTTTGTGGCGCTTACGAGGCATTAAGAAAAAATCTTCGTAGTTGCTTCGAAAAATCAACATTCCCACTCTAGGGCCGAGCAAACGAGTCCTCGCATATATATGCTTTACGTCACTGAATAAAAAAACTATTCTGAATATTGATAGCCAAATAAGAACCGACACATATTATTAATGATGAGACTGAATAATTTTTGCGACACATATTATTAATGGCGAGACTGAATAATTTTTGCAATGAATAATTAACACGTTAATTTAATTAATTAAACACATTTTTTCAAAATTTAGTTAAACAGACAAAGACGGAAGATACTATACCACCAAATTAGGATAATTAGCAGACATAAGATTCTGTTCAAATTATTACGAGTAGAACAAAAAAAATCCTGGTCAATAGGGAATAATAATCATTTAAACCTAAGATAAAATTCTAATGGATCGAATTTCTACACAGACGTAAAATGCCGGGATTTTCCAGTACAGGAGATTACGACATGAACGCTATCAACGGAAAAGTGGATTTGAATCACAACCAAAAGACCCGAGCAAATTCCCTGATCAAATCTGGATCAAAAATATTCAGAAATGAAATTCTAACGCATTCCTCTAATAAATGACTCGGACTTTGAATTTTAAGAAACGTCGCCGGTGTTAAGAAATCCTCTAAATGTTCCGCTGAAACTTGTCTGCATCATCAGGAATCGCAGCTGATCAACGGTGAGTTTCAACGCAGTGGGCGGCACCAGGGCAGGCGGGGGACGTTCTACCGTCTGTAGCGATCTCTGCTGCGGCTGAAAATTAGATATAAAAAGTTTAAATCAGAGAAAATCTCGTCATAGGTTTCAAGTTCAATTGTTTTACAACACCACTCTAAAAATAATAATGCAAAATGTATTCTATTGCTGAGTAGTAAAAAAAAAAACTTGTTATGTCAAAAGACAAGAGAAAATGAGAGGTGAACATCCTGGCAATAACAAAAATGAGTATACGGCGCCATTTAATGATAAACATGCGACCCGAGCAGGGGCCATACTATCAAAACTCGCTCATGTGCCCATAGCGGCCTGAGTACATGTAGCGGCCTGAGTACACGTCGGACCCGAGTATATGTAGCGGTCTGAGTACACATAGGGGCCTGAGTTCATGTAGCGGCCTGAGTACATGTAGCGGCCTGAGTACATGTAGCGGCCCGAGTACATGTTTCTCGCCTGTCAGAATCTCTGTCTCGCCTGTCAGAATCTTTGTCCCGCCTACCCGAGTCTCTGTCTCGCCTGTCATAATCTCTGTCCCGTCGCTCAGTGTCCCGGTTTCTGGAGTCCCGTCGCTCAGTGTCCCGGTTTCGGGAGTCTCGTCGCTCAGTGTCCCGGTTTCGGGAGTCCCGTCGCTCAGTGTCCCGGTTTCGGGAGTCCCGTCGCTCAGTGTCCCGGTTCCGGGAGTCCCGTCGCTCAGTGTCCCGGTTCCGGGACTGCCGTCGTCCCGAGTCGTGGGAGTTGGCGCGGCTGCGGCTCTTGCTGTGGCTGAGACGCAGGCGTTCGAGAGACGCGCGGTTGCTGCCTCCTTCTTTCCGGTCAGCTCTGCTCAGCAAATTCCACTATCAATTTTACTAAACATGATAAATCTTGTGAGTATTTATCAAGAATAAATGAATTAGCAACTCAATTATTATACTGAGCAATATTAAAAAAATAATAAGACGCGATATCACTTCCTTGCCATTCGGAAAATTATTGATGCAAACCCACAATTAAGTCCCATATGACATCACATGGAAAAAATCATTAAGGTAGAACATTTTCCTGCTCGAAGTTGACCGTTTTGCATGGTATTCTCAGCTTTTTAGAACATATACGTAAGAAAACACTGCAATTTTGAATAGAATTCAAGTTGATGATAATGAAAGGTATTGGTCAACAATGCCCTCGTAAATTGAAGAGAATCAACATGCGACAGCCGAACTCGTAAAGGGAGCATAGAGAGCAAAAAGAGCACAGGTGTTCAGAAAATGTGCAATCCTACGCATATTTTCTTCTAATTCTTACTCCATTCTTACGATTAATTGCCTACCAAAGAATAAGTCGTACCTTTCTTTGGCATAGTGGCCATTGTCCCGCCAGTTGTGTTGCTGTGACTGCATCGCCTGCAACATACACAACATGTTATGTGGGCAACACAACCTGGATAGATATTATGTGGGCAACACAACCTGGAGAGATATTATGTGGGCAACATAGTCAAAAGACATGTTATGTTGGCATCATTATCTCGAGGAATAAAGTTAAATACAAGAACTTAATGCTGGCCCCAACACGAAGACAAAGCAAGGAAGGATGGCACCAGTTCTCCTTCACCCGGGCATCACGAGCACCATGCTCCCGTTCATCTACACATCACCATCAGCCAGCTGCTTCTCTATGGTCTTCTGTATGAGCACGTATGTCCTCACCTGGGCATCACGGTCTGCCAGCTGCTTCTCTATGGTCTTCTGTATGGGCACGTATGTTCCTCACCTGGGCATCACGGTCTGCCAGCTGCTTCTCTATGGTCTTCTGTATGGGCACGTATGTTCCTCACCTGGGCATCACGGTCTGCCAGTTGCTTCTCTATGGTCTTCTGTATGGGCACGGGTATGCGCGGGAAGAGTGTGGCGTGCCACTCCAGTTTGGTGAGCAGCGCGCGCACCAGCTCCCCGATGCTCATGTTCTGCCCGCCTCCCGCGCGCACGTCCATCGTCTGGAACAAAGGCTCAATTATTAAATTGATTATCATCATATCTCATTTTCGTCTAAAGCAAGGGTTCAATTATTAAATTAATTATTACCACATCTCACCATCGTCTAAAACGAGGGCTCAATTACTAAATTGATTATCATCATATCTCACCTTCTTCTAAAACGAGGGAAAATTACTAAATTAATTATTATCACATATCAACATCATGCGTACCGGAGGAGGCACTGCTTCAATTATTAGTTAGGTTACTACCACTTCTCTACATTGTCTGCAATGATAAAAGTGAGTGTTGGTGTCGAGGTCACGTTCACTTTTGACTTAAATGCATCAGAAAATCTTACTTCGTCTTTCGACAAAAAACAAATAAGTATCAACTAGATTACCAACTTATCTCTTAAATAGCAGATTATTGGAGCAAAATATTAGTAACTAAAGTGAAGAGTAAGAGTCTATCAAAAGGAGCCATTTCTTGACATCAGTTAAAACTGACATGTGACGTAAAGCTGCTGAATGTAGCAAGACAAGGATTTTTGTCAGCAAAACAGGAGAAATTATGGCCAACAAGAAAGAGCCTGGCAAAATAAATATCAGAAAATATGCGTATGCAACATAGCATAAAAAAGGCACCTGAGATACATGAAGCCGAGTCCCCGGATGTAAGGAGAGTCGGTGTGGTTGAGCATCCCGTTGACCTGCTTGCGGGTGAGGCGGAGGGTGAAGAGCTTGTAGAGGATGCAGAAGGCGGTGCTGACAATGCCCCCAGCACCCACGCCTCGCACCTGACATCATTAAAGCAGTGCTGAGTCTCTACTCATAACACTTAATTCAACATATGAGGCTTCCAAAAGCTGTTACCAAGGTTCACATTTGCCTTATTGAATGTTTTGCATACAAAAATAGTGCCCGTGTCACACTAAATTCAAAATAGAAAAGCAAACTAAATAATTCTGGTCTCCAGCCTTGCCATTTACTCACACATTCCATCACAAAAGGACAAAACTCAAGTATTCTAGAGATTGACTTCATCACACAAGCATAAAGTGAAGTTTTCCATTTATCATTGCGCCAATAAGAGACCATAATCATTATCACTCAATAAATGAACCAATCATAATCATTGAGAGGATGAACCTCATGAATTTAAAATTGCATTCAACAATATTTTAATTCGTACAGTCTGGTAGCAGCATGCAGAATTGCATTCTTATATTTACATAACAACGCATTCAATTATCCATTACACCATCACCCATACTAATTTGTGTAACTAATGTTGAAAGACTTGAGAAGATTGGATTCAACCTTAAATTTGTGGTTAATTTATCTCAAATTGAACCTATGAAGAGAAAAGATGTATGCTAAACCACACTAGACTGAGATATTTTCATCAATAAGACATAAACATCTGACATAGACATAGTGACATATCGATGGTTCTTGCAGCTAGCTTAGATCAACTGTTGGCAGCAAGAAAAGAAGTAGGTATGAAGAACTAACACAGCAAAAAGTAATCTATGCAGGTCAAAGATGCCCATCCAATTATCTATTGTTTTAAGTAATAACTGGTAATAATAATCATTTAACATAGGTCATTAATTTAATATTTCTTACTATAGTGACAATTTTTTGCTTTGTTTTGGGAAACATCAATCTCAGGTCACATTATGATTATGAATAAATGTACTATTAAAAAGAATCACTGCAAGGATTACACAAAGTTCTTTTAGACTTGTTGAAGGCATCATGAAATTTAATATAGGTACCCTTAGAAACCAAACCCTTGCTTCATTTAATAATTTGTGGTAAACAATAGCTCGTAAAAGCCCGGCCTCTAGAATAAACATATATTATGATCTACATTTCACCACTACACAATGACAATACACATGTATTGTTTATAAAAAGGAGAAGGGATATAAATAAATATATAACTCAACAACCATGGCAGCAACTGCCATGAAATAAGCGGGCAAATGGAGAAAATAATTAAGGCGTGGCACGCAATTTAGATGATCACTTGCCACAGGATGGCTGGAGTCGAGCAGCAGACCAGCGGGGGAGGCAGCGATGCTCCAGCCAACACTGAACTAAGCTGAGCCAGCAAGAGCCAAAGATGCCACCACCAAACACACTTTTTCTTCACTGACACTTATTGCAGGCCGGGCTTTGGTAAATCACGCCATTAATAAATGTTTGCGCTATATCACACTTGCACTATTAAGAGTAGCCAATATTATAAGATATATAAAAATAAATTAAAAATTGTCTCACAAATATTTTAGACAAGAAATTTAGGGCACTAAACTTCTAAGTTTTCTTTTATGTTGGCAAGTATTGCACAGTTTTGTACTCTAAGAAATGCTACTTTTTTTGTTCCTTTCTTCAGTCAATTGTAGCAAAACTTGCTGCTGAAAATCTGAATATTTTTAGCAAGAGAATAATTTTCCTCAAATAATTCTAAGCAAAATGGATGATATTTCCAAAAAATAATAATTCCAATAAATAAATATGCTAGCAAATTCGTTTGAAAAAGAAGCTTCCCTCTGAGCCCATAATCTATATTATTCAATGAAGAATATAGCTACTAGTAATTCATTAAATACATACAAAAGATTAGCACAAAACATTTGATAAAACCATATCCTTCAATAAAAATTTTTCACTTTAAACCTGCATTTAAAATTTTCATAGCGTCTTAAAAAAATGGAGATGAAGCAATGAACATCTATATAAGATAGTATTTATCTTTTGCCATAGATAGTATACTTTTGCCAAGATAGTATTTATCTTTTGCCATGAAATATTCTCAATAAGTAATAAGAATAGAAGAGTAAATGCTATGATAAAGCTTATTAAAGAGCACTCACCCCTCCACACATGCCTGTTTGACCAGACGTCTTACGGCTTCCTTTCTCCCAGGGCTCCAAGTGAGACACCTGGTAATATATCTCATCCAGCACCTCGTGATATGTCTTCAAAGCGTATAACTTCACTGCAAAATAGAAAATTCATAAATTTTGTGCATAAAATGTATGGTAATTCCATAAAGTTTCAAGATGTAACCTGCTTGAGTGACATGCTCAGTTTAAAAAAGTATCCTATGAGTATGAAATTTACAGAAATGATGGGAGCAACTACAGGATGTCTATGTCAATTGTTCGTTGCCTTCTTTTAAACTTGTTAGTTGGAAGAATGACATATCTCAGGCACAATAGTTATTATAGTTATTATACAAATATGCTTGAAATTTATTCTGAGGCAGATTGTTTCATGAAGTTGGCAACATTAGATATTATATCACTCATCAAGTAATAAAATACCTAGAGATATTTTGATCAGCTTTAATAGAATTAAAATTACATATTATTTTAAGTATGAAATCTTTAGTTATGCTATGGTATTAGATTGCAAGGAAAATTAAAACCCAGTGTACAGACTTCATAATAAGGAAAATAAATTTTATCAAACAATATAAATAAAACAAATCTGAGAGAGAAAACTACTCACCTTTAAAATATTGAGATGACTGAATGTTAGTTAATAAGAGAGTGTTAAGATTCATGGTTTTGTCATTACCCCAAATGGGCAGCACATTTGATTTCTTTTTGCCCACATTGTATTCTTCATTCTCTTCTTCCTCCATTTCATTCTGGTTATCATCTTCATATTGGTAAGCCATGTCTGTAAATAAATATTAAAAAAGACATTAATCTACAAGGAAATTGAAGACTAAATAGTAAGTTGAGAGCATTTGATGCTTACATCATAGAGAGCAGCACTACAGCATGGCAATCTAGCTACAGTCCTTAATTAAATGCTTCTTACTTAAATGGATTTATGGTCCAATGTCCATTCAGCCTAAAGAAATTTCAACAAGTTTTTTTCTATATTTACCTAAAGAAGAACAGGGACTAAAGATGAATTAAAGTGCAATCAAAAAACCTACAAATATTGTATGCAGTTTTATTAACAATTAGATAGGAGATAATTAATCTAGCAGGAATTTTGCAGCTCTGAAAATTACAGGAAAGTCCTATTAGCAGCTCAGTCTCAAACAGTACTGTCAACCGGGGCTACTCAGGACGATTTCGAATGTTTTCATTCTTAACTTCTTACCATTAAACATTTCATAAACAAGTTTAGGCCCGTTTCAAAGCTCTTTGCAAGGGCTATCACATGGCTTTTCCAAAAAAATTCCATATGCTATTTGTAAGGTGCCAGAAGCATAAAGAGTGTCTGGAGTAGCCCCGTCAAACGGGGCTACTCGGGACACTTGGAATAAAACTTCATTTTAAAACATTTGAAGCATGCAGAGTGTACTCGTCTATTACTAACAGTACTCTGAAGCCCTCCTCTTTCATTGTAGATGATGTAGAGGTAGAATAAATGACATTTTCTGTGATTTTTACTTGTTTTTCTATTTTTTTTAGGAATTTTTCAAAGCTAGTAAATGTAGTATTTTTCAACTTCCTTTATACTACATAGATAGGAAAAATGTTGACGTTTATGCCACTATATTTAGTTTTGCAATATTCCAATTAGTTTTGCTACTATACCGGTAACAGTTTTATGCCATGTCGGAGGACTGTCCCGAGTAGCCCCGCCCATCCCAAGTAGCCCTGGTTGACGGTAGCCCCGCTGTGCGGAAATGGCCGCCATTTTTTTTGGATTGAGGTATGTAAATTCCGCAAATAAAGTTTTCATGCTGACACTTGTCTGCCACTTTTTTCTAAGCAAAATTTTTTTAATACGGCAAATATTTTTCTTACTACAGACCTTAGTTACTTCTTAGCAGAAGTAACTTTTCAAAATATCATTTTTCACCATTTTTTCAGGAATTTTTCAAAGCTAGTAAATGTAGTATTTTTGAACTTCCTTTATACTACATAGATGGGAAAAATGTTGATGTTTACGCCACTATATTTAGTTTTGCAATATTCCAATTAGTTTTGCTACTAAAACAGTTTTACGCTGTGTCAGAGGACTGTCCCGAGTTACCACGCCTGTCCAGAGTAGCCCCGGTTGACGGTACATATATTCCATGGCCCAAGCCAGTTGAACCAGTTGGTAGACTGAATACAAAGGCCATGGTATGATTGGAGCATCGGTAATTCTAATTTAAATCATATTCTGCTGCATAGAACATAGTTGAGGCTGAATTAATAACCAGAGTTATGAAAGTTATTGGAAGTTAGAGACTTAAGAGTGAAGGTTAAGAAGGCTACAGGAATTTGAGGTGAAACTGTGTAAAGCTTGTACTATAAGGACATAATAATAAGGTGCTGTTGTTCTCAAGACTGTGAGAACATGGGCTGTTTATAGTTGGGAATTGCAAGGGCATCAAACAGCTGACCCTTGCAGATTTCAAAACTGTTGCAGCATCACTTCGAAGTTTGAGGGAATGGCTGCCTATATTAGGGGCCTAAAATTTGCACCAAGGGTTGGTTCTACAGTGGTGACCATCACGTCAGTATGGTAGGCAGCTATCTCCACAATTGGCTTTGGCCCTTGGGCGGCAGGTCGCAAAATAATGCTACCGCGCAAAACATCGAGTCATTTATACCACCCTGACTTCAATATAACAACATCAAAAATTATCAAGCATAGGCCATGATTTTGCCATATGTGTATGATCAATATCATGGAGCACAGCCATGCACCACCAATTTTGTACACCAATAAGCCTTGAATCAAATGCCTTGGATCTCTCCGGACATCCACCAATCAGCTGTGAACCACTCGGCTTTGTCTTCATCCGGCCTTGCATAGAACCTGTCATGCACCACCAGGCCGCGGATCGAATCTGACTTCCGGGTATACCTAGTTAAATTGCGTAATTTTATGTTCACCACATCTGAGGTTAGGTTTCAGATAGCACAGTTCTGTTCCAAAGTTCATCATCCTTCGACAAGTGGCCATTCGACCGAGGGCTGGTTCGACCCACAGCCTAGATACGGACAGCTTGAAGTGACGAAGGCTACGGTCCAGAAGGCAGGAATTGTGATGGTCCATTACATCCAGGGTAGTGGTGGTCTTTGGCAGGCACCCCAATAACATTGCTATGGTTGTGATTCAGCCATGAGACAAACATGATAGACAAGAAGACATTCAGGCTCAGCAATATAATGCCAGCAATCATGAAGATTCAAATTTTGAGTGTAGTGGCAGAATTATATTGTACACTCATCAGCACAGAAGAGACAATACAGTCACAACCATTATCCGCAGTAAACCTACAAGAAACTTATGGCTAGACTGACCGTGAGACATCTATATCAGCAAGACATGACTGTTAGGAAGAAAACCAACTGAGCAATGCGCTGCTACAGTTGAGGTACGGCCCGGGCCATAGTGACAAACCAGTAAGTTTTTAGAATCAGTTCATTTTTAATTTCCTCATTTACACAAGATTTCAACAAATTGCTTTTGTATGCTAATTCTGGTATCCAAGATACTTTACTGGTCTACTTATAGGACTCAAAAATGAACTTGAGGAAGAGTCTAAAAAATTCTCTGCTTTGCCACTAAAGCCCACTATGACGGCCACTCGAAATACAGCTGCAAACGTATGCGCAAGTTACAGTCATTTAAAAGTTACAACTGTCGTCTATTCAAGGGAACTGCTCCAAATCAACATTTTCTGGTAAAAAGAGTGATTTTAGTGATGTAATCTGAGTCTGATAGGTTTTAAATTTTAATTCATGTTGCACTTTCTTTTTTTCACGAATTAGAGATTTTTTGTTAATGTAGGATGTGAACTTAAATTTTCCAATTTGATGTAAAATGTACTTGTGTTTCATTACAACCCTCTCTCTGTATTTTTTTTGCCTCGACAGGCTCAACCTATTCATACAAAAACCTAGTCATGCCGCAAGATTAGAATTTTCCTACTTGTTTCAGAAATCTTGTGTCTTAAACAGTCAAAGGTGACAAATTTTTAATACATTTGGAATCTTGCAGCCTGATCATACACTTTTGTTAACAATTAAATAGGAGATACTTCATCTGGTGGAAATCTCGTGGTTCTGGAAATGGCAGGAAAGCTTTAGTCGCGGCCCTAAATGTTTAGACCATGTCACCATTACAACTTGCAAGAGGGGCCCAAGGGCCAAGGGCATGGGGCCTTGCGAAGGGTTAAGACCGCCGCACGGCGGTGGAGCGATAAGTACTCACAATAATTCCCTGCCACCATGACCCCAATATCATTGCTATGGTTGTGATTCAGCTACAGCCATGAGACAAACATGATAGACAAGAAGACATTCAGCAATATAATGCCAGCAATCACAAAGTTTCAAGTTTTGAGTGTGGCGGCAGAATTATATTGTACACTCATCAGCACAGAAGAGACGATACAGTCACAACCATTAACCGCAGGAATCTTACATTTGGAATCTTGCAGCCTGATCATGCCCTTTTGTTAACAAATAACAATTAAATAGGAAATACTTCATCTGGTGGAAATCTCGCAGTTCCGGAAAAGGCAGGAAAGCTTTAGTCGCGGCCCTAAAGGTAGATGTTTTCCATGCTTGATCATGCGCCTCGCCAGGACTGGAAATGCGATATCAGACGTACTGATACGCCTGTAATTAAATCCGCAACATGCTGCATAATTGCAAATATTCACACTAATTCCGCAGGATGTGTAAAATTACAAGTGAATTCTAACTCAATTCCGCACATTGTCGCCGTGACAAAATCCGCGGACTCTCAGCCGGAAAGTTCACGAATCACGAGCAGCAAGCTAACTTCCTGAGAGCACCGTT